TCTTTTGCACTTTATATTTTTTCTACACTCAAAATTTTTTTTTCATTAAACATGTTTTTTCATTAAAAAAAATAATTTTCACCCAAGTACGCAAATCAGAGGAGATGCAAATTGGGGTTCAGCTGCTTTTTTGATAATTGAATATTTTGATTAGTCTCAAAACAAAACCTGTATTGCAATAACTATAATATAATGTAATAAAACATAATATATTTCAAAAAAAGAAAATATGTTTAGCGAAAGAAGAGGAAACAAATTTTCAAGTCGAGAGGCGCGGATTAGGGTTTGATTTTAGACCCATGGTTTCTTCGGAGAATTTTCTTAGAATTTAATGTATATTACGTTTTTGCTATATGATTTTTAATTTTTTTGTCATCCATACAAATCAACCCGCCCTAATGTACACATAACTAAGTAAGTAAATACCATATAAACATTCGGACTCCTTTTAGAGTCAGAAAAGTCTCAGAATTCTGAGTTTTAACCCTCTTTATGAGCTCAAAAAATAGCCAGGAAAGAGCATATTTCTCTTCTTGGAAGGGCAAGCCAATATGAGTCCAACTTAGAAGTCATATTAGAGTCTTAAATATGATCAAGATTTTTTATTAAACTTTTACTTCTACGTGAACTTTATTACTTTTGATTAATTTTGGAACCAATACCCGTCATCCCTTGTCAAGCTTGGTTTGCAGACAAACCGGCGTTGGCATTGTGCCATCTTCAGCGTCATTTTTCTTTCTTTGTTCTTTTTAACCGACTTCCAAAAAAGGAGGAGGTTATCAGTTCGTCGGAATATTTTTTTTTTTTTTATGTATGTTACCGCATAACTTTGGACCACGTCAACCGATTTCGATAATTCGGAAAAGTAGTATCTCAGAGGTGGTCTCATACTAATGTGGTTTAGATCCGATCATTGGATCATGAAATATATATACATGTATTTTTTTTAAGTCGGTTTTTTTTTTGCTAAAAATTGCTTGTGTTACTTTTGTTCAACTCAGAATTTATGACACCCACAGTGTCCGAAATGAGTCAGTCTGGTTGACTGTTCTCAAATTCATATATATGATAAAGGAAAGACTCATTTTGTACTCATAAATTCTGAGCACTCAAAAAATTGTTTAAAGGGTATATATAAGCAATATAAACAAATATATGTACGTACATAACTATGTAGATACATTAGGGCGGAGTAATTTGTTCGGAGCAAAATTTTCGAAGAAAGTGAAAGTTCAAGATCTACGATTATTTCTAAGCAAAAGTATCAAAAAAAATATATACCAAAAATTACGTTTGACTCTCCCAATTTTCAAAAGAAAAGGCAATGTAATGTAACTTTTTTGACATACATAATTTTTTATTTTCTCGTTTTTGTGAAGTAGTTTCTTAAATATGAAGAAAACACAAACTTTTGTGAATGAGAAATTTCGTTCACTGATTTTTCTTTTAAAAATTGAGAGGGTCAAACGTCATTTCATATAGTTTGTTTACCATTCTTGCTTAGAATCGAACGAAGAAATAGAATATGCCATACAGTTTTTTTTGAAATAAAATTACTTCGCCCTAATGTACATACTACACATAATGTATTAGTATTTGCATATAAACAAGTGGAAGAACTTTTAATTTTCATTTCTAAAAATACATAGTATGTATAGTTATTTACTACGTCTCTTGTGGAAAGAAATATAAATTAACTTTTGCACGCGCTATAAATACGTTTGGCAACAAACCAAACAAATCAAATGGAAATTAAATGCATGTGTATGTACATATTTACAAAAAACTTATTTATTCGCATTTGATAAAACACGCCACGATGTGCGTAGCTTTTTTAAAGTGTTTATTACCTACTCATTTTATTTCACATTAATATTTAGCATGATCATTTGAATGTAAGAATAAAATTCATACACATTTCGCACTCCGTTATTCAGCTACTACACATCAAAGTACTTACTTATCGAAAATTAGCAAAGCCTCCCACAACTACACAGGAGAGTAGTGAGCGGTAACGCAGCTGCAGCTGAATGCTTTATTTTCTTAGACAGGTTCACGCAATTTTTTTCCATACTGCAGCTTTTATTTACACCTCACAGCAGTTTTTCATTGGAATATATGTTTTGTTTGTCCGCTATGTGGGCAATTATTTAACTGAAGTGCAAACTTCTTAGCAATTAGTTGCAGGTGCGTAACAACATTGTAAAGGCTCAGTTTTGCATACTTGGCATTGCATTAGGGTTGTCATATAACGAATCCGTTAAACGAGCGAGCGGTTACCCAACGCACAGCATTACGTAGAAGTCTGTTGGTTTTTGATTTTTACATAAAAATTAAATTTTATGCAGTGCAGTGCAAAGCATGCATAACTGAGCTATAAATCGTTTCGAAAACTGAATGTTTCAAAGGTGTATTGAAAGCACCAGGTCAACAGCTTGTGCTTAATAATACGCTATTTTATAACAATTTTAGATATTTTTTTCTTTTATTCTTTTTCTCTTCGAATAAGTATATCATTGTGGTTTACTTAAAGTACTATTCATCATAACAGTTACACTAATTTTGATAAAACTTCGCTCTTTATTATCTGTACTGCGTATAATTTTTATACCCGAGCGCACTTGTGCACAAGGGTATTATAACTTTGTTCATATAACGGTTGTGTGTAACAGGCAAAACTAATCGCGATAGATATAGACAAATGTATACATAAATAATCAGAATGAAAAGAGAAATCGATTAAGCGGTGACTGTCTGGCCGTCCGTCCGTCCGTCCGTCCGTCCGTCCGTCCGTCCGTCCGTCCGTCTGTCCGTCCGTCTGTGCACACGATAACTCGAGTAAAAATTAAGATATCTTATCGAAACTTGGTACGTGTACTTCATTCGGGCGTAGGACGGATGGTATTGAAAATGGGCAAAATCGGACAATAACCACGCCTACTTCCCATATAACGGTAATTTTCAGAAATACAAAAACTGCGATATTTTAGTAACTACTGAAGATAATTCACTCAAAATTGATACTTACAACAAATTTTAGACATAAATAAGAATATTGGAATTTTTTGGAAAATGGACGTAGCACAGTTGTTGGCCCTGTTACAGCATACCAAATGGCCGAAAATTTTTAACATCGGACAATAACCACGCCCACATCCCATATAACGGTAATTTCGATAAATACGAAATCCTCGATAAAGCAGTAAATATTAAAGCTAATTTATTCAAAATTTGATGGTTGCAACAATTCTTTACCAGGAAATACGCTTATGATACAATTTTGGTAAATGGGCGTGGCACCGCCCACTTATGATCATATATATGTATCTCGCTAACCGTTCTAGCAATTTGTACCAAACTCGGTATGGTTATTGTGCTCGCCACATAAAAGCAAACCATTGAAAATTCGGACTAAAATTACGGCCGCTTTTCATGTAACGGTAAATTTCAGAAATGCTTGAAATTTCAATATTTCGAAATTTAAGGACGCTAGTTTACTTAAAATTTATACACCCCGGCTTATCATGTAGCGGTAGCTTTCGGAAAGGTGGAAAACATATATTTAATACTTGCGCCGGATATTTAATGTTCGGCTCCGCCCGAACTTAGACTTTCTTACTTGTTTAATAAAACTTTAGCAGTTCTAATGGTTTTTTGGCAATTGAATTGTGGTACATATTAAAACTTGCGAAGCGAATTAATTTGGCGAATTAAGAGGCAGAGAAGGCATTAGGAGTGCAAAGAACTTGCACAAGCTCGTACAATCGAACACTCTCAGAGCGTATTTTAGTTGCGTACGCCAAACCATTTGTTTCGCCAAATTCTCGCAAGTGATAATACCACCCTAAGGTATATTTTTCTGATATTCTACCACACAGTGTCTTCTTTATTAAATATATAAATTGTAGGGCATTGTATTAGTATTTTGTTGACAATTTACTATCCCGAAGAGTAGGTACCTGTTTGTCGTCAATGTATTTTTTAATTTCCAAGATATTTCATTGTGGAATTTGCCTAAATATTTCTTATAGAAATACCACTGTTACAAAGTACAAAATTTCCACTCATTTATTGATAAATAAAAAAATTGGTAGTAGAGATACATAGCAATAGAAGTCGTATATACATATAATGGAATACATATATACATATATGTATGTATGTGTGTATAAAAATAAACTTTTACTTTTTTCGTAGACAAATGATCATTGAATCCCATTCTAAGTTATAATAATATTTTTGAATTTTTCCCCGCCCCTTAGGAAAATAACTTAAATGAATAACAGTATTGAAAGAATTCTCACAAACAATACAGCTTTAATAAATGATTTCTGCAATTTCTGGTACTGAATCTGTCTTCAAATTATTACATTAGCATTACAATAAACTTAATAACATCTAACGTTTACAACAAAGTTAATTACATACATTTTTTTAGATATGTACAGTGTTTTTTTGTTTTCTCGTTCTTTAAATGTTTATGTTTGTTCGTTTACTCCTAGCACACGCCCATAAAAATGTAAATACAATACACTTAGGTCTCTTTTTATTCGGTTTTTAATGCGGATTTGAATTTTTCGCTGTAGCGATTTTGCTTTTTTGAGAGGTTTTATAACTTTTTTCAGTGTGTAGGAGACAATGCTTCTGATAAATAATTTGTCTTTGTATTCTTACATAATTAATGTATTTATTGTGGTATTTTTTTTTTTTGTTTTTGGTTAAAATACAAATAAAATTTTATTTATGTCATTAATGTTCGGTCTTACATGGAATAATAAGTGTCGAAGTGAAGAATTAATTGTTTTTTTTTTTTGCTTAATATTGCCTCACTGTTTTTTATGTTTTTTTTAGAATTTTTTAAATGGAGTACCTGAATTTATGCGGTTTTTAAAAATGCTGGAACGCGTCCCCTGTTTTTGTATGAAAGTAAAGAACTTTTTTATGCGGCCTTCTGAGGAACGTATGTACCGCATAAGAAAAGACATAAGTGTATATTGTAATTTTTTCGCTATTAAATTTTTTTTGTCTAACTTGTAGCGTATGAGCTTGCGCTATTTGCATTCTCAATTTATTCATCGAGTAGACAGGTTCTGACCAGTGCATTGCAAACAGCATAAGGATCGCAGTTAGAGCTGGGACGACGATCTTCGAAATAGCCTTTGCCAGCTGTGGCAACACCACGTGGAATACGCACGCTGGATCCACGGTTAGCTACTCCCCAAGAGAACTTGTCGATGCTTGAAGTCTCCAAACGACCCACCAAACGACGTTCGTTATCTTTGCCCTCTTTGGGATCATAGGCACGAATGTGGCGCTCTTGGTGTTTGCTCAGCTTCTTAATAGCCTCCTCAATGGCTTTCATACCACCATCGACACGCATTGCTTTGGTGGAGAAATTGTGATGCGCACCAGCACCATTCCATGGTCCTTCCATTGGTTTGGGATCGAACGTGACGACAATCCCGTATTCCTCAGCAATGCGTTGTAGAATGTAGCGTGAGACCCAGAGATCATCACTAGCTTTAAGACCAACGCAAGGGCCCACCTGGTATTCCCACTGTGCAGGCATAACTTCAGCATTAGTTCCGGCAAATTCAATACCAGCATACAAGCAAGCAATGGCGTGTGCTTCAACTAGTTCACGCGCGTAAACGCGGTCAGCGCCCACTCCACAATAGTAAGGTCCTTGGGGAGCGGGGAAGCCACCCTCGGGCCAGCCGAAAGGACGTCCTTCTACATCAAGTAAGGTATACTCCTGTTCTATGCCGAACCAGGGCTCCTGATCAGCGACTTTATCTATAGCTTCCTGGCAGGCAGCACGCTTGTTGGAGGGTGTAGGATGTCCATCAGCTGTGTAGGTATCACACATCACAATAATATCATTCTTGCCGGGCTTGAAAGGATCCCGATAGAGGGCACGTGGCACTAGGGTGGTGTCCGAGTTTTCACCGGAAGCCTGATAAGTCGAGCTGCCATCATACTGCCATTGGGGAAGATCTTGCACAGTACTGGGCACTTTATTCAAGACACGATCCTTTAAACGGATATTCTCACCAGTGCCATCGATCCACAGATAAGTAGCCTGTACGCGATTACTTGGGGTTTCGAGTTCGCGATAACGATCCAACAGTGTCTTACTGAGTGCAGCATTGGGTGAATTCTTGAGGAAATGTGCTTGGCGCACAGAGGTCAAATTAAGGTTGCGGAAGTGTGTTGCCAGCTGGGACGGGACCGCGAGCTCCTTGCTGATAAATAAACCGGCACAACGTAAAGCCATTTTGCTAGTTAAATTTAATGTTGACTTTTAAGGAGAAAAAAGTTGGAAAATTTTTTCAGCGCGCTTTCGCAGGAGTTAACGAACGCCAAGGATGTACGATTCAGTAGAGGAAGGTGATAAGAGTGACGCACAAATTACTTGAAATTACACAAGTGCGCTATACTAAACTTGAAAAATGTCCGAAAGTGATAGATTTGTGCGTAGCACTTAAAACACTTTGTATGCATTTATTTTGTGGAATTCTCTTCGTACTTTTTGTTTAGATAAACACTTCTTTATTTTAGTAATTATTTTTACTGTCACACTTTTTATGGCTTTGTGAATACAAAATATATGTATTTAAAACGGAGCTTCCGAGTTTCTAACACCCGTTTTCTATGAGGTTTGAATACTGTCTGACTGCGAACTGAGTGGAACGCTCACTTTTCAAGTCTCTGCCGCTTTGTTATTTCTTTATCACACTTTCAGAAGTCGACCTCGCCGTATCCGACGTCTACCCAGCAAGCACATTTGTATGTATGGGTGAGATTTCATTGTTTTCGTTCAGAGAGCCATTAGCCTACATGAGCATCAGTGTTGATAATTTCGATACAATTTGATACAATTTCGAGTGCTTACTACCTTCCTATTACCCAGAACTTTCATCTGTAGTCAAAATTTTGCAGCACTTGATTCGTTAAGCTATGCAGCACTGTTTTTATTAATTTCTGTGGTGATAGATTTAGAATCGCATAATATTGATATACTGGACGTGCCAAAACAAATAAAAACTAAAATAGGAAGATATTCTACATTTTACAAAAAATTTAAACAAGTTTGTGTAAAACTATCGTACTATGAAGAATTTTAATGACGATGTTCTAATTTGAGTTTCAAAACTGAACCTTTCTTCTGTATTATCAGGCAATATGCCAATCACTGTTCCACTAATACACTTATTGTTTCAGAAGTTGGAAATCGCTCGAATAGAAGACAGCACCATGAAACTTAAAGCTGAACACCTTGATTTAAAAAAATTTGTCAAGCTCAATGTTTGTTAGATTTGGGGGAAAAATAAGAATCACTAAAAATCAACAACATCGCTCAAGATTGTTGTCGATTGCACATTCTTCAGCCAATGTGGAAAGGATTTTCTCCATACAAAAATTAATAAAAACATAATGTCGAAATAAACTTCAAGTAGAAACAATTTCCTTCTTAATAAGAACTAAAAATTATAAAAATTCTAGTGGACAATGTTATGAAAGCATAACATATCTGGCAACTTTGTAAATCATTTTTGTACTTACATACATGCATTTAAAATCATAAAATCTAATGTAAAAATATGTAGGAACAATAATTAAATACACAATAACTAAATCTTAGAAATATAATAGTCATTAAAATTTGGTACAATTTAGTGGTAAATTGTACTTTTTTCAATTACATTTTCATACGAAATTTGAAAATGCAATTATCAACACTGATGAGCATACACTGGGCCAGTTTCGGAAGATTAGGAAGCATGGACAGTGTTGCCGTTGAGAATTTTCAGAAAGTCGCAAAAAAGGGCTCATTGACGTTGAATTTAGAAAGAAAATGGCGGGACAAGCTTTACACAAAACAGGGTTGCAAACATTCACATAAATCTAGTTTCTGCAAGGAGAAGAATTGCATTTCCTTTAGAAGTTTTAATTATACATTTTTTCGTACTTACAGGAGGAAATATTTTCTAATAGGATGGTTCTGTTAACATTTCCTAAAAAATCACTGAAAGAAGGCAAAAGTCGCACATAATTTTGGATAAGGGTCAAAAAATCAAAATTTTCAAAGTCTGGTCAAATTATTGGCAACGGCAACACTGAGCATGGAAGCCCACAGTCGAGCAAGTGAGCAAATGAGGCGGGCACTCTCGACCATAATCTGCGCGGGCGTCGGTGTACGTGATTACATATGTACATATAATCATGTGTACATACGTATATGCTATTTATGTGTAAGATATACGCTAGATACACAATATCCACTAAAAAGTACATATCGCCGTTTAAAGTACAAAACCGCGTATCGTCATTCTGCAAAACCGCGAAACTTACCTTTGCTGCCAAAAATTGGATTTGCTCACACAAGCTCTTGGCTCAATCCTTATCCATTCGTCCTGAAATATGCTAGCCAGAAATGCCATTGCTTTATAAAAAAAAAGATAACCATTTTGAAATATGAGTGTTTTTACTCTCTAGAAAATAATTTATGCAACCGCATGTACGCGGTTTTGCATTATCTTGATACGCGGTTTTGTACTTTAAAAGACGATATGTGTACACGCTGCAGGTAGCTGACAGGACTTTAATGTTTTCTAAAAAAAACTCAGAATGAAAAAATTTTCCAGGTAGACCTTAAGTCGGCCGCTGACTACATATTTATTCATTGTAGTATTCTCAAGTGTACCGAAAGATCCTTTGTTTTTATTATGTACACATGTATTTACTTTGTTCATTTTAATTTAGTTATTCAAAACAAAAACCGAATTTGTAAATATGTATGTATGTTGTTATCTATTTACTTAGTAGTAGTCGAAGAGAGCTTTTTAAGAACAACAAAAACTTACTCACAACTCTCCAGTGTCGTAGAAAGAGGGGCCTCAAATACTATCTAAGAGAGGTAAGTAACCTCCGGTTTGTTTTTGCTCCGTATGTGTTTTCTAATGTTCAAAGTGAAGATGAAGAAGCGATATCTGGATCGCGAACCATATTGATGGATTGATGGATCGCGCACGAATGCTACATGTTCAATATTTATCAAGTCAGTATTTGCATAATTTTTTTTCTGCACACTTATAATGGCGGAAGAACATTTTTTTTATTTTGTACGAAGAATTTATAGATAATGCATTCAAATTTTCAATGTTAATTTAAGTATTTTTAATTTGTTTCGAAAGGTTTTAAGCGCCGAGAAAAGCCGTATGGAATGCGTTTTGAAAATGCTAGACGTTCAATATATATTGACAGTACTGCGATCCGTGATCCGGATTTCAAAATTTCTAGATATTTTATGATCCGTATCACAATCCATCAATATTTGATGGTACACCTTCAATAAATATCACGATCGAGGATGGTGATTTATATTTATGGTGTAACAGACGGCTAAGCAAATGTTTGAAAAAGCTTATTTTGCATATATCCGGAAAGAAGTCGAGTTTACACATACATGCCCGATTTTTTCTTTCTTTCAAATATTGAACATATTAGTTTAATTAATTCTTATCATGTCCAAGCATTTTGTGTTTAATATTTTGCTCCTTTTGTCGAAGGATTTTTCACGGACCTAAAAACAGTTTTCGATACTTCAACAAGGAAAAGTACGAAAATATAAGCTTTCCTTGATTTATTTTGGCCGATTAAGTTTTGAACGAGAGAAAATAAATTAGTTTAACTGGATACGTTCCAAGTTAGTGAAAAAGTTGTTTAGAACTCCTATTAGGTCGTAATGAAATGTACCGCAAATGTTAAGTGTAACGTAGCCAGTGAAAAACTAAAAAAGTTGTGTTTTGGATAATTAACTACCCTTTCCAAAAGAATATATAACATGATGTCGATATCATACTGATTCCATATGGAAAAAAAGAAATCATAGCTGACTTCGCTGCACAATTACCTCATAAATAAGTGTAACGTGGCCAGTGCTTTTCTTTTTATTTAACATTTTTTTATTGACGTGATAAGTATTCTCATTTCATTTTAGCAATAAATAATAACACATATTTAAGAAAGTTTTTTCATGAACAATTGCGAATTGAGCATTATATTACTGTTAAAGTTTAATAACTATTCTATTGAAATAAAGCGAAACTAACATTTGTAAAATATCCTTTGAAATCTTTATCTCTTAAGATTTTGACTATATATTTGCCTATAATTCAATTAGATTTTTTGCAACATATAAATCTGATAAGTTATCTGCCCATTATACGTGATTGTGCTCATAGCACTACAATTTTATAGAATCTGATACAAGTCTACACCAGACTATAAAGAGTTTATAATAATAATAATAATAGATTGGCGCTTACACATATGTTAGTGCTTGGCCGAGCTTCTCCTCCAAATTGTGGTGTGCGCCTTAATGTTGTCACACGAAGGGGAGGGGCCTACAGTTTTACACCGACTCCGAACGGCGATTGTATTTTTATGAGAAGCTGTTTTTCATGGCAGAAATACACTCGAAGGTTTGCCATTGCCTGCCAAGGGGCGACCGCTGTTAAGAAAAAACCTTTTTTCTAAATTTTTTGCGATGTTGTTTCGACTGGGGATTGAACCCAGGCCTTGCGGAGTGTAAGCGCGCACTGCTGGAAGAGTTTATAAGTCTATTTATTTAGACTGTTTGTGTTTATCGGCCTTTAACTGTAAACTGATGTAATTTTAATTTTATAAGCTCGAGGCCTAGAGAATACATAAAACACAGGTTTTAGTTCTAAGTTGTGCCTGGTCGACTGGTGTTTGCATCATAATTATCCTTGATGTTTCTGTAGACTTTTGACACGTCTTTGTCTTTGCGGTGTTTGAACATGATTGTTTTTGTTTAACGGCCTTTAAATTTTAAACTGATGTAATTTATATTTTATAAGCTCGAGGGCAAGAGAATACATAAAACACAGGTTTTAGCTCTTAAATTTTTAATGTAGATATTTCTACCTCCATCTGAGGCCATCTTCAGGAACTCTTAGTTGTAGGTCGACTGGACACAACTAAGAGTTCCTGAAGATGACCTCAGATTGAGGTCGAAATATCGATATTAAAAATTAAAGAACTAAAACCTGCGTTTTATGTATGCTATTTACTTTGTTAAAAATTGTTTATGTTACCACTTTTCTATAAAACTGCGATAAATGCATTAACATTTTTTTTTTATCTAAGATTAACACAGTTGTGGAAACCATCGTATCTGATTTGAAATTGTCTTGGATGGCATTGGAAAAAAATAATTATTCAGAAAGGATTAAAAAGAAAACACACAACAAAGTACTTAAGATGAGCTTTTGCATATTTTAAGTTATTAAACATAAGTGGTTTTTGTAGTTAAGTTAAATAAATATTATTTGTGGCGATAATACGAAGATTTTCCGGTCAAAAATTTTAGTGTAGGATAATTTTTGACCTAGTTAGAATTGTTAAGGATAATCGAGTTTTATATTTTAATCCTGTAATAGAAGATCCCAATTTTAGCTGAAACAGTTGTTTATGAAGACAGAATAAGAATGCGATGAAAAAATGGATGAACAAAGCCTTTTGGTTAAACCTTGCCCAAACCGTACGTGTAACGTGGCCAGTGTTTTGTGTAACGTTGCCAGTGCCCAAATTTTGTGAGCAAAAATTGTCAAAAACCTAAAATTTACAACAATTGGGTAAGCAGATTACACCCTGCATTCATTGTAGATGACATACTG